TTTATGTGCATATAGAGTACCTGCTCTAACTCATGAAATCTAGGGATTTTTACAAGGCAATCCCTGTTACGCAAACGCAGCTCCAGTTGTCGCCCCAAATGTCTTACATCAGTAATGTAATGGTCGTTCTTCAAAATAAGGCATATTGCAGTCTATCAAGTAATATTAAGTCGTTTAGAACAAGTCTACCAAATGGTCTCATGGACGTCAATTTTTCTTGTCAGACCTACTTTGCATAATCTATGATATCCGTATATGTTCAAGATGTGATTCCTTAGTTAACTGATTCCAATGAGACTTCAATTTCTTCACAGGTCTAGACGCTTCTTTAAGTTGATGCCAATACTGTCGGAGCAGGAACTTGAGGATGATGCGCAGGGTGCAGAGGCCCAATTCCACAAACAATCAGACCAACCAGAAGGGGATTTGAGGAAACATCAAACTGATGATGAATCACAGAAGCCGCTTGAATTCTATGTGGAAGGCTTGAATGCTGCCATTACCGCGGAGAACTTGCGAACCCATTTTGCGCACTATGGTGAGGTTCTGGCTGTGGATATATCCGTGGACCTCTCAACCAACAGGCCGCATGGATATGGACACATTACCCTGCGGCCGACAGTAGATGAAAGTCAACTGTTTGAAGCAGAACATATTGTAAGTGGACACCTCGTCAAGGTTAGGGAGCGACCTTCGTCGGAATGTTCGGAAAATACCCCAGTAAGGTAGGTTTCCAATAGGGGGACTTGCTAGCTTTTCCACCAAATGGTTGACCATACAGTTTGTGCCGGGTAAAATGATTTTGGATACTTACGGTGAGCGTGGTAGCCATAATATCATAATGTGAACATACAGGGAAGGATTTCAGGTATCATGCTCAACATGTACATTCGGTCGCCCTTGCCGAACTTTTAGCTAACACGGTCTATATAATGGTTCTAGAATCAGAAAGTCCTTTTCATGTTATCTCGGTGTTGTGGCACAAGAAAACCGCCCCGCTAGTTTCTGCATATGAACGGCATGCCTTTGGGCAGCAATAGCTTTTTGCTACAAACTGTGAGTTGTAGAGAATGAGTATACGCTGATAATTTAGAAACAGCATGC